AAAGTAACTCACCCACCTATGTTGAATATCTTTTTCTAAGAAAAGTACTTTTTGATTTTCATCTTTAATACACTTTACTTGAGTTAAATCTTTACTTTTCTTTTCTCTTTGTTTGGCTAGTTTATACATATATTTTTCACCCTCCTTAGTATCTAATCTATTATAAAGATCATTAAAAGCAGAATTTTTAGCATCACAGATTGTTCTTTTAGACTCTCTGCGAGCCGTTTGATATTTTCTCTAGTTCTCTAAGTTTTTACATTTAAACCAATTTTTATAACATAACTTCTTATATTTTATCTTTTCTTGCACATTATTATTCCACCACCAACTATTTTTATTTGTAAATATTTTTCCCTTTGATTCTCCAAGAACATCTTTTGCTACATGTTTAATAGCGTTTGTTACTTTATCCCACATCACATTTGCTTCTTCATGAATATCCCAAATTTTGAAATCTTGAATTTTACTCATAAAATTAATTTTATTTTTATCTTTTAAGTTTCTCCATCTAATTCTGCAATGATGAGTCCTAGTATTTTTTTATTTTACAACTCTTAATCTTAAAATCTAAAACTAATAAACGATGTTGGGTATTTAAATTTTCACTTGGAATGACTTTACAATCTTTACAATCATGACGATCTCTTCTTCTCATAAGAAAATAATCAATTTGTGTTTTATTAGATCCACTCTTATAAGTAATAAGATGTTCATCCCTTTTGTTGAATAAAGTATTAGTAATAACAAAATCAAACGCTAAAGCAAAATCTAAAATAGTTTTATCTTCTTCATTAGTTACTCCAAAACCGTAGCCACCATGAATATTTCTGAAATCTTCTACCACTCTACCGACATGTCCATTTAAATCTCTTCCAATAAAAATTCTTTCTTCAAGAGGTATCATTTGTATTAAGTCTTCTAAGTCATTCCAAAATTTATCTTTAGACTCTGTATCTAAACCTACTTGAGGAGCATAAACACTTATAATATTAAAAATCTTAGTATCAATGATAATCTTAAGGGCTATAATTCTATCACCAACTCTATTAATTTTTACAACATTATCTTTCAAACTCTTATCTATAATTACACCTACACCATTTCTAGTGCGACTCTTACCAGAATACCAAAGTTTAAAACCTAAATTATCAATCTCCTTAGCCTTTTCTCCCACCCACTTAGTTTCTTGAATACATAAGATATTAATTTTCCTATGAATCATAATATCAACTAATTCCATTAGTTTACCATTGAGAGTGCCTATATTCCAAGATCCTATCCTAATATTAGTTTCATTAGTTTCATGGACTAACTTCTTTACCCGCATTCGCCCGTAATGTGGGAACCCTTGCTTATTTAACACTACACCCGGGCGCCGGTGTAGCGGCCCTTGCACACTTTTCACTGTATTCAGGCTATACAGCGCGTCGCTTCCAGGGGACGCCCTAGCACTTACACAATGATCAAAAGGATTCATGTCATGATTTTTTCGACAAGTTTTACGCTGGCTGTCGACTACCTAACGCAACCCTCCACTTTTCTCATCCGGGCTTGGGACCGGCAACGGCAGTGTTAACTACTTTGAGACTACCTAATCTTTAATTATGAAATCCAAAATTAACTATGAAACAACACTTATGTATGTATTATGGAAAGAATGATCTCATTGCTTATTTGCATCTGGGTACATGCGACATCAAAATTTATGTTTTCTATTTTTAGAACATTGCATGTATTTTGACATCATCATAATTTGATGCCATATTCATGAGTACGTCTCATATAAAACTGATTATTCTCGTGCAGGGTCCTAACTACTTTGAGATCGACTTGGATATTCATCGCTTTAGCTACATATCGAGGAAGGGTCTCGAAGCTTTTCGAGAGCGCTTGAAGCATGGCATACTTGATTTAGGCTTAACAATTCAGGTATTTGCCAGAACACCAAGTATTTTGACACAGTACTTCCACTAGAATGATTAGTTTATTCATTCAAATATGGAAATTCTATAGTTTGCTTAAATACCAATGTTTACTAGAAGTTCTCAATTCTTATGTATGCATACATCTGGCACATAAACTTCTTTTTTTTACATATATGTGACTTGGCCTATGCTTGAAAAGCTTAATTTCACCTTTTAGAAGTTAAAATAGTGATACTTTTATGTGATACGAAAGATTTGAGAGGTAAAAATATAGGTGTTAGATATATAAATACATAGGAGTTGATTCGTATGCATGTAACTGCCCCTAACTTTAATTATTTGAATCACGAAAAGAACCTTTTCGGTCGAATATGCGAATAAAACTTGTCTGAAATGTTTCATCATGTTTTATTCAATATCTCCATTAATAATAAATACTCTTGCAAGCTTATAAGAGAATTTTGCTGCAGGCTCAGAAGCAAGAGGAGCTACCAGAGCATGTGCTATGTGCTGTTAGGTTTAACAAGATAGATTTTATCAATCATGGGCAGATACCTACAATTATGACTCTTGATGAGAATTGATTTTTTTGGCTTATATTATTTTTCCCATATTATGGTTTCATGAATGATTGATGTAAGAAAGGTTGATAGAAATTGGTGGGTGAATGAGCTGAGGAAAATCAAATTTTGATTTGTTTGAGTTTAATTAATTATTTATTTTTTTACTTCTATTTTGGCTAGTTTTGCAAAATGATATGTGATTGCTAGCTTAATGTAAATATTTTTATTGTTTTTTTTTTAATTAATGGAAGTAAAAAAGGCTCATTATTTTAGCTTCTAGTGATTCTAGGGGCCAAGAGATGCACAACTTAACATAGTCCACCAAAAATATATTTGCAATTCATAAAAAAAATTGATTTCATTTGTGTAACATGGTATTAGATATTAATGAAAAATAAAATAAAATCAATCAAATATATAACTAATCCAAGAGAATTTAGAATTTTATAAAATAAAATTTATTAATGTTTAGAATTTTAATAAATTTTATTTCCTTAAGAAATAAAGAGCTAATGCAAGAGAATTTAGAAACATTTAAAATAATCTCACTAACTTCTAAAAATATATCTTTATTTTTTCAGAATAAATTATTTTTTTCTAGAAAATAATTTTTTTTTTATTTTTTTTAAGTTATGAATTTTCCAAAAAATTGTCTAATGGCTTTAAAACATTTGTAAAAATGTGAAAAATCTTATTTTGTTACAACTATATAATTTTGAAAAATTATAATTGCTTTGCATATTTTTGTATGTTATTCATGAAAATAATAAAATTACAAATAATTTTTTAAAAATTAAAACATAAAAATTTACTAAGTGCCTTTCATATTACGATTTGTTATTTTGCATGAACATAATATCAATTACTCTTAGCAAAGGACGTCCAAGGAATACATCTCTTTTCCTACTTATATGATCTACTCATAGACAAAGTAATGTATAATAATCTTTACTTATTTCCAAAATTATTCAAAGCCAGAACATTGACTCTATATATGTGATAGAGAAAAAAATCAAGCGCAATAATAACTAAACTTGAAAGAAGCTAAAGACAGAAACCATTTCAAAATATTTGGAGAATATATAGATCAACTTAAGTGAGGCCTTGCACTTGCCATAACATTAGTACCAGCCATGCGGAATGTTGCACCCGAAAAGTTCCCAAATTTTGGAACAGAAAGTAACGGTTCTCCAGAATTCGGTTACATACATTGCATCAGTGGTATGAAATGATGTTTGTTAAACCATTTTCGTATTGCTAAATTCAAAAAAAAAAATGTCCTTCATATTTAGAGCCAATCTGAGCAAAGATACATTTCCTTCATGTAAATCGGATACACATGCTTCGCACCCCCCACAGCATTCCAGATCCAAAAAAATATACGAAGATGGAGATGAGAGGAAGAAGAAAGGGAGGAGCAGAGGCGCAGGGGGACTCGGGAGAAAAGGTTAGATCGAAATCCCTTCACCTGGATTCGTTCGTTTTCGATCGAGGAAGAACAAGCTGCTCTTTTTCGCTCAGGGAAGAAGGCGCGGAGGAGCCTTTTCTTCAGAGAAGGAAGCTAGGGCAACCAATGATCGAACACTGTCCGCGAGGGTAAAGTATGAAAATTTCGGGGCAAACGCGGGGCTGCGGTGTTGATCCCGCGACCCGCTTCCCCTTAGCTTTCCCTCTCCGCCGCCGCGAAGCTGCGAAACAAATGGTTTTTTTTTTCTCTCGCAGCGGTTGGGGCCGCGCCGGCCGAAAAGTGCGGCTCTCTGTTTGTACAGTTGCAGCTTCTCAGCTGCACTGCCTCAAAAAACAGTTGAAAAAAGCCCATACTGTCCCTGTTTGATAAAATTATTTAAAAGAAGAGTATAACAATCATGTGTAAGTAGGAAAAGAAGTGTATTCCTTAGACATTCTTTGCTTCAATTGCCAATCATTCATGGTATCATAAGTTGTGATGAGTACTAGTTCATTTTCATGGTATCCATGGCAGACATGGACAACCAACAATTATATTTAAAGGTTGATGATGTTGGTGATTGAAATTTAAAACTTGTTTACCAACATTCCAAAAAAGTGATTGTTATACTCTTTTTTTTAAACAATTTTATCAAATAGGGGCAGTATGATCTTTTTTTCATAAATAGTTGCCCGACAGTTGGTTTCACACAGCTACACCAAACATACAACCAGCTTCCCCGCAGCAGCTTCCTGTAGCAACGCAGCTGAAAAGCTGAGAAACTGCAGCCACGCTAAACAAAGTCTTAATGCGCTGAAATTTCAAACATTTCACTCATTTCCAAAATCATGCGCAAGCCATTCATCACATGCATTACATTGACCATGAAATGAGATTAAATAATAACTTTTGAAAGTCTTAAAACAAAAGAATTCACTTACATTTCTTGAAAATTAATTACAAATTAAAGCTTAATTTATGATCAATTTATAAATAATAATTAACATTATCCAAAATCATGGATTAATCTTGCAATTTATTTTCATTATTAAAATTTTCTAAATTTTATAAAAACAAAATTTTTATAAAATTAAAAACAGCATAAATTTAATTCCTAAACATTAGAAATTAATAGTTAACCAAAATCAATAAAACCCAAATCAAGCAAACTTAACATATATTTTCATTAGTTTCATTTCTATTATTCATACATTTTTGCTTATGCCCCCTCCCTTCAAAGCATGCATGAAATTTGCTTGATAATAATCATATTCTTATTCATAAAATCCACTGAAAAAGTCATATATATATATATATA